ACAGGCTGAGCGTCCTGCCTCTGAACACCCAGAAGGTTTTGTTCATGGCTAATGTGGAACCACCTGACCTACTGAGCCTTCTGGAGTATTCTGGTCAAAAACACTCACCCTGAAATTTCAAGTCTCTAGACCTAACTTCCAGTTTACGGGAATGAGAAACAGCCAATGGGGTTTTTATTTGGCAATGGCAGGAGAGTCTGATTCAAGCCTTACTTCTAAGTTTAATATGACAAGTGGTTAATGTTCCCCTGGTACATGCAGACAAGCCTCTCTGGCCTCAGTTACCTCATCTGTAAAATGGGGATAATATAGTAAAGCCCAGTGATACCAAGCCTGGGATAATACAATTTTGATTAAAAGCAATCAACAATTGGCTCCTGTCTTGTGTGCAGCCCCAGATCTCAAATGGGAGGGCTGAAGTTATTATCTTTGGGGACAGGAGCAAGTGGAGCCCTAGAAGAATAGCAGGCAACTTCATTTAATGAAGGGGAGGTGGTTTCCTGTCCAATCTCCCCAGATCGGGCTGATGAAATGAGGGCCAAGTAACCAGGAGATCCTGAAATCACTGATATCCACAATACTCTCTTCCATGTCCCTGCAAGCCACAGAAGAATGGCCTCCAAAGATATTGAAGTCACATCAGCTAACCGCCACCAGGTGGTGCCAGACAAACCACAGCTGGGCAGAACCAACTGGAAGGGAACAGCTGGAACCCTGGATCGTGCCACTTCCAAGCTGGCTGGCAGCATAGCTCCCACAAGTCAGTTTATTAATCTCATCAAAGGCACCCTGCCCTTTTAGAAGTGAATCTTTTTTTGGTCCACTTCTTGCATTATGGTGGGGTTTTACTGTAATAATATCTACATCATAGGGTAATTGTGATGATTCATGAGTAGTACCTGTAAGGTACAATCAATTCCAGTTATCCATGGCTTATACGTGGTAGAGCCAGGGTTCAAGTGAATGCTTCAAATCTGATGCTCTTCTCTCTGCCCAGTAATCTGTTCCTTTTTCAAAGAGCAAGAAATTTTGTGAATAATCAGTAATATTAATAATAGGCAAGATTTATTGGGATTTTATAACCCAGGCATCGGGCTAAGTCCCTTACATGTGTGATCTTTCTGAATCTGCTCAATGATCCTCTGGAAGAGTGACTATTATGCCCATTATAGAGATGGGAGAGTGAGGCTCAGGGAGGCTCAGTAACTTATCAAGTCTAGGGTGACCCCCATTTTCCGGTGGGAGAAGCCCACATGCCTCATTGGGAAATATTTGCCGGGGTCCAGGCAGTTCTTACTCACCAGATGATTATGAAGAAAGGCACTGCGAAGGCTTCTGAAGTTACGCCGTGGATCAGGGACTGCAGTGAGCTGGGGAAGGTGCTCACCGTCTTGGGGATGACCTCCCAGGTGGTGTTGAAGTTGGTGAATGGCCCACAGGCTTTCGAAGACGGGATGCTGCCAGGACACGGACCAAGGGGTGCAGGGTGAGGCCTGCAGGACAGGCTGAGCGTCCTGCCTCTGAACACCCAGAAGGTTTTGTTCATGGCTAATGTGGAACCGCCTGACCTACTGAGCCTTCTGGAGTATTCTGGTCAAAAACACTCACCCTGAAATTTCAAGTCTCTAGACCTAACTTCCAGTTTACAGGAAATTTAGGACAGAAGTGCAAGTTAAAATGACACTTTAAGAAAATAATCAAACAAATCCAGAATGTGGGGATTCTATTCTCCAATCTCTTAATTTAAAAGCAAAGAAATTGGCCTGGACTATTCAAAGGATTAAAGATTAAAAGAGACTACGGAGACATAACAACTGAAAGCAATGGGTGAAACTTTAAAAAACAATATTTTTAAAAATAAAGCTATAAAAGATTATTTTGGGACAAGTAAGGAAATTTGACAATGGCAGGAATATGGTATTAATTTTCTTAGGCGTGATAATGTTCTTGTGGATACACATGAAGGAAAACATTCTTCTTAGGAGTTGTATGCTGAAGTATTTAGGGGTGAGATGTCACAGTGCCTACAACTTAATTTCAAATGGTTCATCACCAAAACAGCAAAAAAAGTATACACACAGAGAGAAAACAAATACAGCAAAATATTAACAATTGGGAATCTAGTTAGAAGGTATATGAGTTTCATAGTTGCTATTTTTTGACTTTTCTATAGATTAAAGTTTTTTCAAGATAAAAAGAGAAAAGAATCATAATAAAAAAATGCTAAAATTAAGACTTGAAAAGAATTGCCTAAATTCACGTCACATAGATTTTCCATTGCAGCCCTATTTGTAGGTATAAAAATAAATTCCTGGAAACAACCTAAATGTTGCTTGAGGAAATGGAAGAACAATTTATGGTCCATTCATACAACGGAACACTAAAGAACCACTGAGAGAGAAAAGAGACAGATAGGTATAAGGAGGAAAACTGAGTAGTTGGGAAATAGAATTAGAAAATGACTGTCACCACATATAGGCATACCTTAGAGATATTATAAGTTAGGTTCCAGACCACTGAAATAAAGTAAATATTGCAATAAAGCAAGTCACATAAAGTTTTTAGTTCCTAGTGCATATAAAAGTTATGTTTACACTATACTGTAGTCTATTAAGTGGGAAATAGCATTATATCTAAAAAAATGTACACAACTTAATTAAAAAATACTTTATTGGGCCGGCCCGGTGGCGCACTGCTACAGTGCGCCGCTTGGGAGCGTGGCGCCGCTCCCGCCGAGGGTTTGGATCCCACATGCAGACGGGCCGCTCACTGGCTGAGCGAGGGGCGGGAGCAACGCCGAGGGTTGCGATCCCGTTGCCGGTCCCGGTCCGGTACGGGCGCGACACTGAGGGTTGCGATCCGTTGCCGGACAGGAAAAAAGACAAAAAGGAAAAAAAAAATACTTTATTGCTAAAAAATGCTAACGATCATCTGAACCTTTAGTGAGTTGTAATCTTTTTTCTGGTGGAGAATCTTGCCTCAATGTCGCTGGCTGCTGACTGACAAGGGTAGTGGTTGCAGAAGGTTGGGATGGCTGTCACGATTTCTTAAAATAAGACAAAAATGAAGTTTGCCACATCGATTGACTCTTCCTTTCATGAAAGATTTCTCTGTAGCACGTGATGCTGTTTGATATCATTTTACCCAGAGTAGAACTTCTTTCAAAATTGGGGTCAATTCTCTCAAACACTGCCACTGCTTTGGTTTAAGTAATATTCTAAGTCCTTTGATGTCATTTCAACAATGTTCACAGCATCTTCACCAGGAGTAGATGCCATCTCTCAAAAAAACACTTTCTTTGCTCATCCATAAGAAGCAACTCTTCATCTTAACAGTTTTATGATGAGATTGCAGCAATTTAATCCCATCTTCAGGCTCTACTTCTAATTCTAGTTCTCTTTATGTTTCCCCCATATCTGCAGTTATTTCCTCCACTGAAGTCTTAAACCCCTCAATGTCTCCATGAGGGTTGGAATCAACTTCTTCCAAACTCCTGTTAATGTTGATATTTTGACCTCCTCCTGTGAATCACAAATGTTCTTAATGGCATCAAGAATGGTGAATCCTTTCCAGAAGGTTTTCAATTTACTTTGTTGTTAAATTGTTGTCTTATTTTAAGAAATTGCCACAGCCACCCCAACCTTCAGCAACCACCACCCACCAACATCGAGGCAAGATCTTCCACCAGAAGTTCCAGAAGGGGAACAAACATTCCAGCTTCCATGAGATTCTGAAACAAAGATGGACCTGGCTCAGCCAAGAGGGACTTACTGACGTCAGTGGGTGGAACATCATGAGAAAAGCCAATAAAGAATGTAATGGACCCTTTAACATAAAAGAAGAATATGTCATAGAGCAAGAAAAGGTTCTAGAAAACTAAGTCATATTTACCGCGACATACTGATTGTCAGAGGTATTATTGCCAAACACAGCCCAATCAACAACACTAGCAGGAAGAAGAAATTAGAATTGGAGGCTCTGAACTGCCTTGGGGAGGGTCTGCAGGTATGAAGAAGACTCATCTAGGGAGAAAAAGAGAGAAAAATTTAAGATGACTGAGTACAGCTTCCATGAAGATAAATGAGCACATTCGTGCATTACAGTGAGAATGTAAATTGGCCTAAATTTTCTAGAGGGTAGTCCAGCAATATAGATCAAAATGAAAAATGTTTAATCCAGACTCCAACTTTGGGGAATTCATGAAGATAAAATAATAGGAAAAATGGGCCAAAACACATGCATGTGGATGTTTACTGCTGCAGTTATTGATAACAGGCAATAACCGGAGGCAACTTAAATAGCTATCAATGGCGGTTCATTACAAGTTCAAGTACATGTGTACGGTGGAATCCCAGACAGCCCTCAGGAAGGATGAGAGGGCTTTACATACACATGCATCACTGTGCAATGAAAACGGTGAATTTCAGAACCCTGTACAGTATAAACTCATTTATAGGATTATAAACTCACCTATAGCTTTAGAGGTGTTTAAATAGATCTACAATAATATATATCAAATTAAGAGGTATTCTGCTTGAATTTTTTGCAAGCACATATTTTTTCCTATACATTAAAAAATAAGTACATCCACTGATTAATAAAAAGACTTGAAAGAAATATCAGGTGGGGAAAAGGGTATACTAACAGGCATAAAATTTCTCAGTATTTTAAAATGCTGCATTACTAGGTGGGGGCATCAAGCTTTTCTGAATTCAGTAGGAGCTAGAATGTCTTGTGAGCCATAAGATACGAGGAACTAGGGACACTTGGTGCCCTGCCTGGGGACAGCCAGCTGGGCAGACCTGGAGTGAGTGTCCCAGGTGAGCCCCGGTGCCTGTGACCCCTTGCCCTCCCCATGCTGTCTTCACTGTGCTACACATTTCTGGAAAGGGGGAGAAATTTCTATGAGCTTTCTCACATCCATCTCTCCTTTGATGACTTCAGCCAAGTGAAGTTTCCGAACGAAAGCATGAGAACATTCCTCAAAGGCCAATACATCCAGGTAGAAAGTTTGGGCCAATTCAAGGCCCATATTACTGGATGGGTTAAGAGCTTAGGTTCTGGAGTGAGATAAACCGGGGCACTTATAAGCTGTGTGACCTTGGACCAGTTACTTAACCTCTCTGAACTTCAGCTTCCTAATTTATAAAATGTGGTATCTGCTCCAAAGGGTGGGTGTAAGCATTACATGTTAATCTATGTAAAGTGGGGGGCACAGTGGGGCCTGTCTGCTATTATTACCATCACTATTATTATTTCTATTTTTGAATTCTCAAGGCTTGGCATAATAGGTAATCAATAAATGTTGGGCTTGTTAACAGAGGATACCTCTGGAAGAAGAGATGGAAGTTACTGTATACATATCTATATTATATGAATGTTTAATAATGAGCATATATTGCCTCTATAATAAAGAAAAAAGAAATTAGGTTAGTAAGCCCAGATAAGCCAGCCACCTGCAGGGCTATGTCACCCATTAAGCACCTAGTTCTGGCACAATGCCTAGGGACTATGAGCTATCCAAGGGCCTACACAAATTATTGAGACCTGAAAATTAAGGAATTGGCTCCAAAATCCAAATAGAAAATTACAAAGTAGAAACTAAGAAACATGTATTAAACATCACTGTTGATTGATTGACTCAGACTCAATTCTTACACAGTTACATACAAAAACAACATTAAGTCACAGGAGCAAAACAAGTCTTAACAAAATTCTCAAAATTACAATAAATGTGAAAATCCATTCAGAGTCTTTTTTCAGAATAAACATATATTAAATAAGGGATGTAATTTTGATCTGTCTTCAAGGATGTGGGTTGGGCCCCAAACACATGAACACCTTGGAAGGTCAAGAAGGGTCCAGGGTATGAGCCCCCACCCCCACCTCTCCTTACCTCTTTCACATAAAAGATAATAACCAACTTCAAGGTAGCAATTGCAGGAAGAAGGGGTGAAAAAAACGCTCCCATCCAGCAGATGGTTTGACCGTAAACGAGCCCCAGCACATTATCAGGAATGGCAAACTCCTGCTGCCCCCAGCACTGAATCAGCTTCCAAGAAGAACAGTAGGTCACCAGGAGCCTGCAAACAAACCAGATTATCTCTCACCTGGACTACTGGTGTCTGCCAAGGCCACAGAACCACGTCCACAAAATCAGGGCCATTTCCACATGTATTTCTCATGGAAACTGGTTCAGCATAGGTCTAGAAGATGCAGACTTCTAGACATGAACTCTATTGACTCTGGAATCACCAAGACAGGGTCTGAGTCTCAGATTCACATTTTTTAAAAATTGAAATATAATTGACAGATCCACATTTACCAGTCAAATAAATTTAGGCAAGTTCCTTGACTTCTTTGAGCCCTATTTTTGTCATCCGGAACGTGCAGGGGATTTTACTACAATTTATGTCACAGGGTTGTGATGAGAATAAATGACATGGGCAGTGACCGTGCTCTGGCCTGTCACTCAGCACAAAAAGTACTGCACATCCACACAGAAAGTGCTTATGAGGACCCTACCACCTAGCAATGCCACTTCCCGGAATCCTAGAAGCTTCCCACAGACACTCAAGGACTAGGAGCCCGAGATATAGTTATCTACCGCGGCATCACCACGCATTAGCAGAAATATTGGAGACAACCTAAGTGCCCATCAGTAGGGGATTGATTAATAGATTATAAGCCACGCATACAGTGAAATATTATACAGCCCCTAAAATGAGTGGGGAAAATTCATGTGTCCTGACATGGAAAGTTGTTCATGATATTTTAACCAACTGAGCTAACCAGCCAGCAGCCCTATTCATGATATTTAAAAAAATATCATGTATGGGGGTGGGGAGCAGGCTGCAGACCAGTGTGGTTGTACTATGATTCCACTTATGGGGCCTAAAAAGAACACTGCCAGCAAGACTTTGTGTTTGCTTACACATGTATTTATGTAGATGTGTGGGGTTTTTATTTAAGGACTGCTGGATCTACCCAAAGTGTTCACAGTGTCTACCTCTGACACATGGAGTAGGATGAGAGAGTTAGGAGGTATGGTAACAAAAGAGAATTCCCACTGTCCTCCAGACTTCTGTATTTATTAGAACCTAAATATTTTAAATTTTTTAGTCAATACATATTTACTAAATATTTCTGTAATTTTAAAAATATAATATGTAGTTTCTTTTTTAATGTTTACTTTTAAGGGCTTATTGGACCTCTGGCCTGTGCCTGGGTTATCTCATATTTACTAAATATTTCTGTAATTTTAAAAATATAATATGTAGTTTCTTTTTTAATGTTTAGTTTTAAGGGCTTATTGGACCTCTGGCCTGTGCCTGGGTTATCTCTATCTGTGGGTAAAAAAGTGGTTAAGTAAGCAGAGTTTCACTTGAGACTCAAGGAGATGCTCAGACTAATAATAAAAATGACAACAGTACTGATAATCATGATGGTGACTGTTCATGTTTTGCTGAGTTCTGTGCCCTGGAGTATTCTTAGTGCTTTTATCTGCATTGTCTCATGTAATCCTCACAACAAGGCTATGAGGTGGGTCCTGCTACTACTCCCATTTTACAGGTGGGAAAATAGGCACAGAGCTTAAATAACTGCCCAAGGTCACACGACTAGCAGGTGGCAGTGGTGGGGATTGAACCCAGATCAGGAAATGTGGCCATTTCTATACTTGGTGCTGCCTTTAGAGGAGCAGCTAATGGACTAGGGGTCGATGGCCAGTTGTCAGTGGTTTTGGGGAGCTGTGGAGTCATCTAGTACTCAGTGGAGAGTGGCTGTGAGGGGAGTCCCTAGTCATCGAGGGTGGGCTGTTAAGAGAGGCACCCCTCACACTTACTTTCTAGGAAAATCCACAAACAGCGTCACAGCCAAGATGATGATGAAGTCAAATATCATCAGCTTGTACATTTCCTGCCCAACTTGGGTCTCCCAGCACTGAAACCAAAGACAGTGAGAAAAACTGAGACCCTACCTGAGGCAGAGAAAGCCAGGCTCCCAGACCCCTTCCAAAGCCCTTTCCTTCTCCAAGTCCTACTCCTCTGGCTAGTGCATCATCTGATGGGGCTCTGAGCTCCAGCACAGACTTTGGTTTTCAAGCCTTTAAAAGTGCCTGGCATGGTGCTAGACTTTGCTTTCTAGCCAGAGTCAGGAAGCTGAGTAACTGGGACTGAAACCCATGGCTTCAACGTGAACCCATGACTCATGACCCACCCAGCAGGATGACTCCATCCCTGCAGCTTACCGGGTAAAGTTTCTGGTTGTAGCCACAGCGTTCACAGGTGGCATTATCACAGGATGTAATCTTGGAGCCCAGTGTGAACACCAGCACACAGATGGTGGCCAGCCGCATAAAGACACACCTTCAGGGAAGAGAGGGAGGAGACAGGAGGCCCTCAGGGCAGGCTGGCCCCTTGGAACTGCTGCTAGAGAATACAGATCCTGCCTTTCTTAAAAGCGAATATTGTACATTTCTAAATAGCTGGAAAAGAGGATCTTGACCTTAATCACCACAAAGAAAAGAGAAATGTTAAGGTGATGGATATGCTGTCTAACCTAAGTGAATCATTGTACAATATATGCATGTAACAAAACAACACACTGTACCCACAAATATGTACAATTAAAAAAAATTTAAAAAAAAGCAAACCCACAAATAGGTACAAAGTTTCTATTGGGGTTGATGAAAAAGTTCTGGAGATAGATGGCGGTGATGGTTGCACGGCAGTAGGAATATACTTAATGCCACTGAACTGTACACTTAAGATGGTTAAAATGGTAACTTTAATGTTATATATATTTTATGTTATATGCAGGGTTTTTTTTTTTTTTTTTAATAAAAGATGACTGGTAAGGGGATCTTAACCCTTGGCTTGGTGTTGTCAACATCACGCTCTCCCAAGTGAGCTAACCGGCCATCCCTATATAGGGATCCGAACCCGTGGCCTTGGTGTTATCAGCACCGCACTCTCCCAAGTGAGCCACGGGCCGGCCCCTATGCAATTTTTTTTAAAGGCAGGAAAAAAGATCAGAAAGCTGGGAACTCCTAATTCCATGATGATGTCACATTACAGGCCATTAAGTATTCCTGAAAAGAATGAATTGAATCTTTTATGTATCAGCTTTATGGGACATCTGATATATTGGAAAGTGGGAAAAAGTATATTGCAGAGGACCACGTAGATAGGATCCTACTTTTAGAAGGAGAAAAAACATGTGAATGTTGGCACAAATAGACATTGTGGATGAATAGACACTGGCTGTCCCCGTGGGCCACCTGGGGAAGCTGGATTCAAAGGAGGCTGATGGAAAGTGCTAATTTGGGTTTTTTTTTTTAAAGATGCTTTTCTATTGTTTGATTTGTAATAAAAACAAATGACTTTAAATAGAAACATCAAAAAATGAGGGAAAAGACTAAGGCACACCATCTGCACACACCATGGGACACAATGTGCCTCCTGTTGGGATATAACAGGGACACAGGACCACTGATGAAGTTTCCATAATTAAAAACTGACACGGAATCTAATAAAAACTCTGCATCTACATAGAAATTTACAGCGTCTATGGGTACAGAAAAATTAAACATACCACAAAGAAACAGTGGACTAAATCCAGAATAGGAGACATTCTACAGGACAAATGACTCAGTTTCTTTCACAAATCAATAGCATAACAAAAGGGGAGGGGAAATTTTTAACAGAATAAAAGGGACTTAAGAGACATAATGAAACACAGCACGTGGACCTTGTTTGATCCCAATTTGAGCAAACAAACCTTAGAAAGCCATCTGCAACTCTATCAGAGAGACTGACCCAATTTTATGAGGTGTGATGATAGTGGTCTTTTAATTTTTTTTTTGGTGGCTGACCGATACAGGGACCCGAACCTGTGACCTTGGCATTATAAGTCTGTGCTCTAACCAACTGAGCTAATCGGCCAGCAACGACCATGGTTGTTTTTTACGTCCTCCTCACTTAGAGATACACCGAAGTGTTTACAGGGGAAATGACATGCTGCCTGAGATTTGCTTAAAATAATTCAGCAAAAGTGGGGGGAATGGATGAAACAAGATTAGCAAAATGTTGGGAATGACTACAACTAAGTAATGGAAATTCATTATACCATTCATTCTGTTTGAAAATTTCCAAAATAAAGTTTTTTGTTTTTCAAAAAGATACAAACGCAATCTCAGGCATTTGAGAAGCAGAAAGAAAACTCTTCAGTTCCACACAGTCCCCACCTGGTCCTTTTCACTCATTTGTGTTAACTCCATGGACTTTGCCTTACACCTGTCATTTCTGAGATCTTCAGAGCAACACCTCCTCCTAGGGTCCCACCCTATACCCTCAGCTGTTGATGTGGTGATACATGGATTACAAATATAATACTGATGAGTAGACTCTCAAAGAGATTTCACCACATATGCAAACTCTCATTCATTCATGAGGGCTCGTCTGAAGATTGAGCAGGATTCTTGGCTTAGTAAAAACATGCCACAAGTGATTAGCAATGTCTTCCATGGGCAAGGGAATGACAAATGGTGCTCTGCTTGGCAACTTCGAGTTAGGCATTACCTAAGGATTGTCAGCCGGATCTCAAAGCCTGGGGAATAATCCTCATAGTGGATGATCTTGGAAAAGATTATTGGGGTGATAAAATTGGCCAGCGTGATCACAATAGACGGTAAGTACAATATCAAGAGGTTCTCCCCAAAAACCATCTTGTCAATTTCCTAGGAAGATAACAAAACTTACTGGTCAGGAGTATAATATGGGATGATGCAGCACAAATGAACTGAACTGAAAAGAACTTGACTACGTATATTTGGCAAACAAAGAAAACATATTTGTCATTTAACATAACCTGTATACATAAGCCATCTCCTTCCTAAGGTGTTCAAACAGGTGTCCAGTATCATGGTAGAAGAAATGTTAGCTCCATTAGATTTATGGAGGTGAAGTATAAAAAAAAAATCTGTGCATTCTAAACAAATGGGCAATTTAATTTTCAAGCATGTAGTACTGATTGATTTGTAATAGCCATTCTCTCCTTCTTCCATAGTAACAGATTATTTAGCCACATATATAGCTATCCAAGATAAAAACCAAATTTCTTGGCCTGTCTTGTAACTAGGTACAACCATGTGACTAAATTCTGGCCAAGGGGATTTAAGTGGAACCCCCAGGTCATGCTCTTAAAGAGAAGAGATGGGCCCTCTCTAACCCCTTCACTTTCTTCCCTTTGGCTAGACTGTGAGCCTGGTGATGAGCTATCTTGTATCATAAAAAAGAGGGCCAAACGCTGTGAAATGAACAGCCACAGGATAGGTGGAACCTGGGCCTCTAATGATTGATTTCACAAAGCAGAGACACTAGACCAACTTGGATTTTTAAAATCACTGCTATTTTAGGTAAACTGAGGCCCCAGCTGTAAGTACAGGAGTCAGGGATAAAATCCAGGTAGTCTAGACTATATTATTTGAATATTATGAATTCCAAGAAGCATAGGTATCTCACTCCTTTTTATATGCTTTCTAAAATTTCTCTTAAAAGTGGAAATCAATCACAGAGACTTTCAGTTCTCTGTCATATCAGCCAAACTTATATCTCCATGTGTAAAACAGAAATGACGATGGTATCTACCTCACAGGTTTGCAATGTACTTAGCATAATGCCCAACCAGAGTGCAAGTTAAATTGACTCTTGTGATGTACATACTTTTTTCATGTGTTCTTGCGAGAATATAGTTGCTATATAGATTGCATAAAAGCATGCTGCTAAAACAGCCAGAACAATACAGTTCAAAAACAGCCTCAAAGAGTAAATGCGTATCGTTTCTTCAGATGTCCTTTCTGCTATTTTCTGCCGTATCCTTTCTTCCTCCAGATCTGCCTGAAAACCAAAGAAAACTCATTTATGAGCACTGGGATGAAGGATAATCAGGGGTGGAACCTGATATACTTTCTCTAACTATCTTTAAGACTTCCCTTAAATATTCATCTCCCCAAAGATACCTTTCCAGACTAAGCCCAACTAGTTTTTACATCTACTAAATCAAGGTAGAACCTTCTATTTAAGACTGCAATTAGGCTTTGCAATAAATGTGAAAACATAACTATAATCTATTTGTGACATTACTTATATACAGTATGTGTCATTTCTTTAAACAGTGTATAGGTAGTTTTGTTTTGTTTTTTTAAAAAACCCAATCTGGTAGTCTCTACTTTTAATAGGAGAATTTATCTGTTCATATTTAGTGTAAACAATAATACATTTGATTTGATTCCTTCCACCTTTATTAAGCATTTGATTTGCTTTTCCTCTCCTTTCTTTGGTGGGTCTGATGAAGATGCTATTCATTTGGAAATTCTCTTGCACTTTTTCATATTCTCTCCACTCTGTTCTCTCACTGTGTGTCTCCACCTCCCTTCCCAGCCCCAGTTTACCAGCATCCCAGCTTAGGCACAAGGGGATCAATACCAATAAGCTGTTGGCTGCAAAAAGCTCTTGAAAACTGCACAGAGAACACCTGGCCCCACCTAGCTCCTCTGCAAGCTGAAACTCCACCTCCCAAGGCATGACCTCGCCAGTGAGGACCCCCCCAAGGGAGAACCCAGCAGCACTCACTCGGAGCTCGTACTGCAAGCTGCTGTGCTTCAGATTCGCCATGCTGCGGTTGGTGATGCAGAAGTCCCAGCCAGCAAAGACCTTGTTGCAGTAACTCTGGAAATGCTCCTCACTCCGAATCAGGTTGACTTTGAACCCTTCCACTGATCTGACCCCAAAACATAATTATCCATGTAAGAACAGCAGCCATTATAGGCCTATGAATTGACTTTGTCCAAAATAAAAAGTTAGATGTGGGTGCATTTCCTACCCATTTTGACATGGTCAAGTTTTGGACCATTCTAAATATATGTGGCAGCTAACCAGACATCTCATTGTTGAAAGTCATTTCCTTTTATCCACCTAATGGCTTCTATCACAGCTGGAATAAAATCCAAACTCTTTAATGTAGCCTAGAGATCCTGCATGATTGAGCTCTGCCGTCTCTCCTTCCATGTGGCCACTCTGCTGTAACTACACTGGTATTTTTTCCTTTCCATAAACACACACACCCCTGTTTCTGCCTCAGAGCCTCTGCACCTGGAAGTTCCCACCTTCTCCAGCCTTCAGGTTTCAGCTCAAATATCCCCTCTACAATTCCTCACCTCCCCATCTAAAGTGGAGACCCCATTTCCAGTCAGTCCCTTTTATTCCCTTCACATCAATGACCCTAATCTGCAATTATCTCATTTGCTTACTGCTGGTAGCTCCTTATTCTGAACAAATTTTAAATTCCTTCAGGGCAGGTACCCTGACTGTCTTGCCACGTTTATATCTGGAATGCATGGACCATAATATGACGAATATGTAATTGATGGATAAATGAATGAATAGTTGACTTAAATAGTAAACTAAACAAATATTTAGTGAGTACCACTTCAGGCCAGATGCAACTCTGTTGCACATTTCATAATTTTTATTCATTTGAACGCTTTCATGGGAAAAATACACCCTGGCTCATGATGATATAAAAACACCAAATGCCAGGCACAGTCCTCTGTACATGATAAAGGTTATTTTTAGGATTTGCTAATGAGGCATGAACTCCACCCCTGGCCTCTGCTCATCCTCTGGGCAATGGCTCCCAGAGCCAACAGACCTCCAACAGACTTCCAGCATCACGGGGAATTTAAAGAGAACACAATGACAAGATAAACTTTACCTTTTCACTATCCAAAGAAGGCTCAGAGCCAGGCAGGAAATTGCACTTAACAAATAAGCCAGGGGCAGATCATAGGTGAAGTTCTGAAATTTTATCCCGTCAATGGTGTAATGTCCATAAAAGAGGCTGGTCTCCTCCAAGAAACCCTGAAACAAAGCCAAGGGCATGAGGTCAGACTGGCCAGCTCACTGCAGGGAACCAGAAAAGTGGTCCCTGCCTCTATGAACTCACATTCCAATGTTCTTGTTAATCCCCATATCTCTAGAGACTGGAATAGCCCCAGAAGCCAAGGGCATGAGGTCAGACTGGCCAGCTCACTGCAGGGAACCAGAAAAGTGGTCCCTGCCTTTATGAACTCACATTCCAATGTTCTTGTTAATCCCCATATCTCTAGAGACTGGAATAGCCCCAGAAGTACAGGGGGTACTCAGTGTCTGGGGGATAAAGCATTGATAAAAACTTAGCATTAAAAAATACACAGGAGGGCTGGGCAGTTAGCTCAGTTGTTTAGAGCGTAGCCTTATAACACCAAGGTCATGGATTCAGATCCCCATACTGGCCAGCCACCAAAAAAGGAAAAGAAAAAAATAAATGAAATATACATGTGAAAATCCAAAATCGAAATTAAGAACACCATTCTATGTGCCACAGCATCAAAAAGAATAAAATACTTAGCACTAAATTTAACAGAAGAAGTGTGAATCTTATACTCTGAAAATTATAAAATATGGTTTAAAAAAATTAAAGAAGTTCTAAAGAAATGGAAAACATCCTATGTGTGTGAATCAGGAGATCCATGGCAATACTTCTTAAATTGATCTATAGATTCAACACAATCCCTGTGAGAATTCCAGGTGGCTTCTTTGCAGAAGCTGACACGCTGATCCTAAAATTCATATAAAATTGCCGGGGACCCAGAATAGCCAAAACAATCTTGAAAAAGAAGAATGAAGTTGGAGGATTCACATGTCCTGACTTCAAAGCTTACCACAAAGAAACAGTAATCAAGACAGTGTGGTACTGGCCTAAGAACAGGCTCATACATCAATGGAACAGATTTGAGAGCCCAGAAATGAACCAATACATCTATGGTCAATTGATTTTTGATACGGGGAAACAGTAGTCTTTTCAACAAATTGTATTAAGACAACTCGATAGACACATGCAAAAGAATGAAGTTGGAGCTCAACCTCACATCACATATAAAAATCACCTTAAAGTGGATCAAAGACCTAAATATAAGAGCCAAAACTATAAAATGCTGGGACTGGCTGGTTAGCTCAGATGGTTAGAGTGCAGTGCTATAACACCGAGGCCAACGGTTCAGATACCTTTACCAGCCAGCTGCCAAAACTATAAAATGCTTGGAAGAAAACAGAGGGTCAAATCTTTATAACCTTGAACAAAATGTGGTATACACATATAAACAGAATATAATTCAGCCTTAAAAAGCAAGTAAATCCTGTCACGTACTGCGACATGGACAATCTTTGAGGACATTATGCCAAGTGAAATAATCCAGTTACAAAAAGACAAGTACTTATAGGAGGTATCTAAAATAGCGAAATTCATAGAAACAGAAAGTAGAATGGTAGTTGGCAGGGGCTGGGGGAAGGTGGAAAAGGGGAGTTATTGTTTAATGGCAATAGAGTTTCAGATCTGCAAATGAAAAAGTTCTGGAGATCTGTTTCACAACAATGTGAATATACTTAACATAACACTATCAAATCGTACACTTAAAAGTGGTTAAGATGGTAAATTTTATGTTATGTGTTTATAACCACAATAAAAAGAAAGAAAAATCCTTATAAACTTAGATTTGGCAATGGATTCTTAAGTCACACCAAAAGCACAAGTTTTAATAAAAGAAAAAATAGATAAATGGACTTTATCAAAATTAAAAACTTTTGTGCTTCAAAGGACGCTATCAAGAAAGTAAGTCAACCCACAGGATTGTAGAAAATATTTGTAAATAATGTATCTGCTAAGAAACTTGTGTCTAGAATATATAAAGCACTCTTATAACTTAACAATAAAAAGACAGATAACCCAATTAGAAATTGAGCAAAGGATCCAAACAGACATTTATCCAAAGAAAATATACAAATGGCCAATAAACATATGAAAAGATGTTCAACATTGTTAGTCATTAGAGAAATACAAATCAAAATCACTATGAGATACTGCTTCACACAAACTAGCCTGGTTATAATTAAAAAGTCAGATTACAACAAGCATTAACAAGGATAAGATGAAATTGGAAGGAAAATAAAACAGTGCAGCCAGTTTGGCATAGTCTGGCAATTCCTCAAAAAGTTAAAGATAGGGTTACCATTTAACCCAGTGATTCTACTCCTTAGTTATAAACCCAAGAGAAATGAAAACGTATGTCCATACAATAGCAGCACTAGTCATCATAGCCATATAATGGAAGCAACTCAAATATCCATCATGAATGGATAAATAGAATGTGGCATATCATAAAATGGAATATTATCTGGGTATGTCCATACAATAGCAGCACTAGTCATCATAGCCATATAATGGAAGCAACTCAAATATCTATCATGAATGGATAAATAGAATGTGGCATATCATAAAATGGAATATTATCTGACCATAAAAAGAAATAAAGTACTGACACATGTTACAACATGGATGAACCTTGAAAACATTATGCTAAGTGAAAGGAACCAGTTAAAAGGACCACATTTATATGCAATGATTCCATTTATATGCAATGTCTAGAATAGGCATTTGAGACAGAAAGTAGACCAACAGTTGCTTAGGGCTGATTAGGGCATGGGAGGTAATTGCTAAAGGGCATGAGCTTTCTTTTGAGTTGATGAAAAGTTTCTAAAATTGATTGTGTTGATTGCTGCACAACTCTGAAGAGACTAAAAACCATTATATTGTATGTCTTAAATGGGTGGGTTATATGGTATGTGAATTATATCTTAATAAAGCCATTATTAAAAAAAATACAAAGATGTCCTTTGTGAAAGAAAGATAGCACAGAAGTCTCTGACTTCATATAGTGGGAAGGACTTGACTCCTCCAATATCTCCTAGGATGGCAGGAAAATTCTAGGAGAGTAAAGAAGAGAGCAGATATAGAAAGTAGAAACAGTATAGGTACTATATACTTGCAGATGTTCACTACAGCATTGTTTATAAAGGGATGAAATGGAAGTAATCTGAATGTCCATCAGTAGGGGACTGGCTAGATCATGAAAAGTCCATATTATGAAATATTAAGCAAGACCATGTAACTGCATAGAGAAAGGTCAAGAAGACTATGACCCATGGTGTTAAAGTTGCAGGGATTTCTAGGGAGGGGTACATTCACTTTTTACTCTATAAATTCTATATTTTTCGTGACAACCAAGTATTCTAATATTATTTGAATAATTAAGTAAATTTTTTAATGGAAAATTTAAAAACCAGAAGACTCCATATTCTCAACTCTCCCAAAAGCTGGGGCAGACACGCCATAAAACCTCATCTAATCACATGAAAACTGTTTGTTTAACCCCAGGTTGATATCAGTGCTATTACCAATCTCTCCCTCAAAATAGTAGTAACATTACAAGGCAAAGGTGCATTGGGCCCAGAAAATTTCTCTGGTTTGATAATGAGATTGGCTCGGTTATTTTCAAAAAAGTCAAGCCCCCGTTTGATCTCTCTGGCCCTCTTTCTCTGAATTATATTAGGTGAAACGAGTCAGGCACAGAAAGAGAAATACCACATGTTCTCACTTATTGGTGGGAGCTAAAAATTAATAAATAAATTCACACACACACACAAAAACCGGGGGGACGGGGGGAAGAAGATATAACAACTACAATTACTTGAAGTTGATATGACAAGCAAACAGAAAGGACATTGTTGGGTGGGAAGAAGGAGAGGGAGGAGGGAGGGAGGTTTTGGTAAGGGGCAACAATAATCAACAACAATGTATATCGACAAAATAAAATTTAAAAAATTAATTAATTAATTAATAACAATAAAATTAAATTCAAGCTCAGTTTCTCAGACATACTAGACACATTTCAATTACTCAAGAGTTAGTTAGTGGTTCTTGGGTTGTACAACACGGATTCAGAACATTCTCCAGAACACTGCAGAAAGTTCTTTTGGACAGTGCTGTTCTATATCATGCTTACTTTATTGAACATTTATGATGAAGTGCAGCTAACTCTCCTATACAATCTTTCCTATAAGGAAGAAGGTTATGGTGTGCAGATTTGCAAACAGAAACATCTCTTGGGGGATGCAATGGAAATAAACAGAGCTAACAGCAATTCAGGGCTTTGATGCCAATTTTGCTTTCAGCAGCAGTGTGACCTTGGGTGAGTCACTGAATTTTTCTCATTTGCATAGTGGATATTTTAACACTCACCCAACAATTCCTCTGAGTTGTTTTAAGGAAAACATGAGACTGGAGGTGTAAAAGCACTTTTTCAAATTCAAATACAGTGAACAAATTCAAGGCTTTCTACCTTTCTGTTCAGAAAAATAGAAACTGAATGACTTGGCATTTTAATACCAATAACTTTCAGAAATATATTTCTATATATTTGCATTTCTTAAACATCTAGAGCATGGTTCTCAACCAGAGGCAACTCCGTCCCCCAGGGAACATGTGGCCATGTCTGGAAACATTTTCGGTTGTCACAACTGGAAGTGGGCGCTACTGGAATCTGGTGGGTAGGGACCACGGATGCTGTTCAACCCCCTACAATGTACAGGACACCCCTGATGACAAGAATTGTCTAATCCCAAATGTCAATCGTGACCAGGTTGAGAAATCTTGGTCTATAGGCCACTTTTCAATCTTATTTGCTGAAAAAAGTGGGATTTAAAAAAAAGAAACACAAAAAAACATTTTTCCAGAAGATAAAAAACCTTTTAGAACCACTATAAGAACAATGAAATTAATTCCATTTTAGAGCTGGGGTTGTTAACCTGGGATTAACAGACTTTTAAGGGATTTCAGGGAATCTGTGTATGCTGGTGCTACATGTGATATGTATGCACACATGTATGGGCACATGCGTTCACAAGTACGTGATGTGCATGCATCCATTTTTGTGTGTAACTTCTAGGGAGAAGGGCCATAGTTTTCATCCTGTGGTCTAGGACTCCAAAATGTTAAGGTTTTGCAGTGTGAGAATTTAAATAAATTCTATCTAGGTTCATTATTATTGAAACTTCTTTTTTGTGGAGAAGCTCATTTTTTTGTTGCAGGTCAAAAGAAAGGTGTCAGGGAATGGGAAAAGTCCCTGGCTGAAAGTGACAAAGCATATTTCCTGTACATTCCAGCAGGGAGTGGCTAAGCATTGTTCCTGCTGATGAGGTAAACGTAAATCCTGTTTCTTCTACTGGTGCTGGTGTCAACACTCGTGTTTGACTCTTACTGCAGACATTCAGGAAACCGATCTTTAAATCAACGGATTCTCAGTATTTGGAGGGTCCAAATATAGTATTATATTAAATACTTACAGTGCCAGAAAGCAAGTCTATGACATAACTGTAAAAGTAAATGAGTCCAGAGCTACTTATTGGATATAATGTACATTGTATATCTGTAAAAAACAAAAACAAGAACGTCAGTGGAAATAGTTTGACAGTCTCTGTAACTTGTCTATCACAATTTGCATATCTAAGCATGAATATGTACATACATTTAGATATTTCATATATATTTGCATATTTGTAGATGGATGTATTTGTGATTTTCTATTTGCAGTCCAAACCTCAATGTGTCAAGGACAATAGCATTTTCCTCTATTTCTATTTTCTTCTATTGTATTTCTAACATTTTCTGCACTATTCTTCCTAAACATTTGGAGAGATATGTCTTCTCTATACATTTCGTATGTGGTTCCACAGATATAACATGTTTTCTGCTCGTATGTGTTGTGTATTTTGGGATTCATGTTTACACATATTTTGGGATATGTAATTGATATAATTGTTATCCAGTTTTAAGCACATCCAATGTAAAAAGATTTCTGTGTGTGTAAACAAACGTGTACTTTCATTCAAAAAATACACATATTTACATATGTATAATATTCCAGGAAATGTTTTGAACACTAGTTTTAGTGACATTACTTTATACTTGAACAACTAACTCATGTCTCTTCTGTATCAGTTAGCTATGGCTGTATAACAAACAACCTCAAAGTCTCAGTGACTTAAAACACCAAACATTTACTTTCTTATGGGTTTGCAGTTTGAGTTCATTCAGCTCATTTTGGCTAAGCTAGGATGGACTTGGAGCTTCCAGCTGGGCTAAGGCCTGGATTGAAGTCCATGTGACCTAATTCTGGGGCCTGGGATAAAGAAACAATGGCTTCCTGGGGGATGCTCTCCTGGTAGCAGGTCACATGGGCTCAATAAGGCAAGCCAACCACACAAAGACATTTCAAACTAACACCTCACTAGACAAAACCAGTCACATGGCCAACCTCAATACCCAGGGGGCAGGAAGTCTTCTACCTATGGTGGGAAGCCCTGCAAAGTCACAATTACAGGGGAAAGACAAATTGGGGAAAATAACCCTATCTACCACCCCTTCTCTGGGCCTTCATTTCTCCTTTGTTAAAATAAGGGAGTTGGACATCTTTCTACAAGGCAATTCCAACTCTGCCATTTTATAATTCTGACATGCATGTGTTTGTTTATTCACTCAGCAAACATTTCTTTATCCTTGTACACCAGGTAAATGTTGGGGATAAAAAGATAAATAAGAAGTAGTTCCTGCCCTTGAAAAGCTCGACATCAAGTGGCAGAG